CAATTGTTTGTAGTGGTCAAAAAGTATATTCGGAAGTGTTTTCACATTTTGACAGACTTGTGCAAATGCATAGATTAACAGGTCTCTCTTGTCAAATTAGTTTTTACACAGTACAAATAGAATTTAAATTTCACAAAATTATTAATGGCTAATTGAGGGCTACTGAGAGATGACAATGTCCTAGATGGCTGCAAATTGTTCCAGTGTCACTGTCTAGTTCTCTGCTTCAATGCTTTGAAATGACTCAGTAGTCAGCTTTAATTTGTTCAGTTTAATTAAATTCCACCTGAATAAATGTGTTGTGCAAATGCTGAAATTTTCTGGATTATGTATGCAGTTGAGATCTAATTTGATAGTACACAGCCCTAGATTGTAAGCTCTGCCATAAAGGTGTGCTCCATGTAAATACTTAAATAATAATTTAGAAGAACTTATAAGGAGAACTATATAAAGAAGGCAAAGCAAAATTACAAACAGAAAACTATTTTTGAATATGCTATCATTATTCTCAGAATAACAAAAATCATCTGTAGATCACAAGTACATTTCACTTTCAAAACACATTCTGTTAAGATTAGTAGCTTGTTTACTTAGCATGATACTGTCCTGTCTACCCATTACATTAATTAAACAAGTACTGTAATCAGATAGAACAGTTTTTTCTGCTAAGATGTCTTGACTTTGGTAGAAAGACTTTTATGAATTATATTCTTATATATGATCTGTGATGTGAGGAATTGAAATAAATGCCAGGTCATTGTCCTTCTCTTTCACATTAAGTGCAAAATGGACCAAAAAGACTCTTCCTTTCCCAAACCTCCTGGCTCTAACTGACTGATGGAAGCATGTTGACCAATATATCATACTTATTTAGGAAGTGAGGAAGCATGGATACACATCATTCAGGTAACCAGTGCTTAAGGAGGCTGGGAGCAAAACTTGTCCTTCCTGGAACAGAGACTGCTCAGAAATTCCTCTTCTCATACTGTATTTAGCAATAGTGACTTTCCTTCAGGAGCTCCCATGTATGATTTTATAATGCATTATTTTAACTTCTAAATCAATGTAGTTATCTGAGTCCTTCCTTGCAGGGAAATTCACTTAGACTCCGTTTCCTTTCTATGTGCTTCTAGGTAATTTTGCCTGTTACTTTTTTAATTTTTAATTTATTTCTTATAAATTCTTGTTTTGCAGGATCTGTTTCATCTAGGACAATCTTTCAAAGCATGAACTTTATTGCCTGAAAGTTACAAAGGAGAGTTGACCAAAAATAGTGGCAGATAACTAATGATTTAAGAGAATACTCTACTCCCACTATATATGTTTATCTACATTCCTGTAGGTAAGAAATTTCTGTACTGATGTAGACAATTAAATGGTTAATATATATTCTCATTATGGTGATATTATCATTATAAATTAAAACTTGTCTGTACTTTTACTGCGATTAAAAGGCAATCACAACTGGTTTTGTATTTATAAAATTTAGAAAAATTAACACATGCTGCTTTTCTTACTAAGAGAGAAGTCCTAAATAAATAAAATCATTTCACCTTCTGACACAGAAAGAGTCTGAGAAATGAAAAATGCTTGTATTTCTCTAAAATTTCATATCTATTTACGTAAAGATAACAGTTGCACATTTACTTGTCCTCTAATTTTCTAGATTGGGTCGTGCTGGGCCCCGCTGTGACCACCGGCCACGCTGCGCTGGATGCCGGCTGCGCTGGGCTGCGCTGCCAGCCGGGATAGCGCCCTCGTGGGAGAAGAGAGGAAGAACTTTGGAGCACACAGAGGTTTGCCAGACCAATTTGGGGGAGGGGAAGGGTGTTGTGTGGGGCGTGGGGGTCCCTGAACCAGCGAGAGGGCAGGTGGGGCAGTCCTGTATGGAGTGTCGTGGGTGAGCAGTGCGAGGGAAGATCTGTGGTAACGCGGTGGGGGGAGCGTAAGATCAGGGTGGATAGTGGGTTATTCCAGGAGGTTGGGAGGTTTTGGCTGGGCTGGGGTCGTGGGAGGTACCCAAGCCCCGGGTTGGTGCGAGGGCTGGAACAGTTTGCTTTTGATTCACCTGTGGCTGCTGCCCAGGATTGGTTTGTTTTGGATTTATAGCATCCTGAAAGGGTGGTCAGGACAAAGGAATGTTCCTGGGTATATCCCCGGGCTTGAGCATAGGTGGGTGGCAGAAAAGTAGGGAGTGAAAGGCTTGCCCTAACCATTTTAGCAGGGAAGAAGCCTGTGTGACCCTTTGCGGTTGCGAGCTATGCTGGCGATGGTACATCCCTTTTGCAGGGTTTCCCATGCCAGACAGGTCAAAACCAAAGGGTCAGATAAAATGTGTCCATGGGCAGGATGGGCTCACTAGCCTTCCGGCAGTCATCTTAGGAGAAGGACAACTCTAATTCCAAAGCAGGGCAGATGGAGCTCGCTTAGCCCTGTAAGGCCATCCATCTAGAAGAAGGATACTCTAATAAAACCTATGTCCTGAGGACCTTGCTGCCACTGTCCAAGCTTGGTAGGCCCTGGCAGATGAACCTTAGGATTAAAGGGTGGGTCCAGTTCCCCACATACTGCGTCTCACCTAAAAAGTCCACTGCGCAGGCTCAAAGGTTATACCCACATTTGTAAAGCCCTATAGCGACGGGCAAGGGATGAAAAGGCAGGTGATAAGGTGCACTCGAAGCCGCAGACCCAGTTCAGGACACTGGTCACCTGAGACTGACCCCGGAGATTTGGCAGCATCCTGAATGACCAAGCAGCCTTTTTCAAGGAGAGCACTGCTTGCTCCACACAGAGAGGGGCCTAGAAAAGGTGGCCTAACCAAGGCTCATCTCCACCCTTCACCCAGTTGGTTAACAGACATCTTCTAATTGCGGTCAAACAAAGATTAAGAGACAAAGGCATACACCTGCCCTCAAAGGTGTACCCAAATTGACACTCGCATGCTGAAACATCAGAACCATGCTTGATACTGCAGACAGTGGATGTCCTGAGTGTTGCTCTGCCCTAATTGCCCACGAACTATCACATCTCAACATCAACATTGCTGCACTCAGTGAAGTTCATCTCCATGAGGAAGGTAGCCTTAGGGAACACGGTGCCAGTTATACACTCTTTTGGCCAGGTAAGCCCAGAACCAAAAGGCATCTTTCAGGAGTTGGCTTCATGATTAAAAACTCTTTTGTTCCTAAACTCAAAAATCTGCTGACAGGTCATTCTGATCGCGTTATCTCCTTACGCCTTCCACTACACAGCAAGCAACATGTTGTCCTCTTTAGTAAATATGCCCCAACTCTCCAAGCTGACCCTGCCGAAAAAGATAAATTTTATACCGACCTCCGCCGCCTTACCCAAAAGGTTCCGGCAGCTGATAAGGTCATTATCCTTGGTGATTTCAATGCCTGGAAAGGAATATTAGGCAAGCATGATGTTGGAAACTGCAACAATAATGGTCGCCTTCTGCTAGAGTTTTGTGTGGAGCAGCAGCTCACCATCACTAACACTACCTTTCAGCAGAAAAACAGTCTGAAGACAACTTGGATGCATCCTAGATCCAAGCATTGGCATCTCATTGACTACGTCTTGGTGTGACAAAGAGATGTTTGTGATGTTCATCATAGCCACACGATGCCTAGTGCAGAATGCCAAATAGATCATTGACTTGTGCCCTATACACTTAACTTCAACCTTAAGTTCAAACCTAAAAGGGGCAGTATTCCAAGGAGGAGACTCCAAGTTAACGATCTTCAATCAGCTAAAGTGAGAGACAACTTTCGGGCAAACCTTCAAATTAGGCTCGAGGATCATTCCATAGATCCCTCTCCTGAATCACTTTGGCAATGTATTAAAAATAGCATCCTGCAGTCCTCTGAAGAATCCTTAGGGTTCTTCTTCAAGAAGAACAAGGACTGGTTTGATGAAAACAATCAAGAGATCCAGGAATTGTTGAAGAAGAAGAGAACTGCTCACCAAGCACACCTTGCTCAGCCGTCTTGTCATGTAAGAAAAGGAGTCTTTCGTCTTGCATGCAAGCAAGCTCCAACAGAAACTTCGTGACATCCAGAACAAGTGATGGATCAATCTAGCAGGAAAAATTTAATTATGCGCGGATACAGGTGATTACAGAGGATTCTATGAGGCCTTGAAAACAGCATAAGGACCTACATACCAGGTCCAAAGCCCTCTACTCAGCGCAGATGGTCAAATGCTTCTCACAGATAAAACCTCCATTCTGAATCAATGGTCTGAACACTTTCAGACTCTTTTCAGTACCAATCGTGTAGTTCAAGACTCAGTAATTCAGTCCATTACACAACAACTGCTGAAGAATGAATATTGCTTCACCAAGAAAACAGTGAAAGACTTTAAAATATTATCATACTTTGTGTTGAGAATAATTGATTTGATTGCTAGTAAGAGGGACCAATTCAATTCCTAGAGTAAAGTAATAAATATTAGGTTTGGATACTACTCAGAGATTAGTGAAGATTAAATTGCACAGGTGCTCAGAGAACTCCAATTTTTCCGTATTTTCTTCCCAAATTGCTGCAAGCTTTTGCACTGGATTAGAGTAGCCACTCAGTCTGAGGCACATTTAGTCGATTCACTCAGGTGACTGTATTTTTTCTCCCTGAGCTACATATTGTTCCCCACTTCATGACACAACTATTAGTTTTGTTCTTTATAGAGCTATTAACAAAAATGAGAAAGAATCTATGACTCTGCTTAACTTCTGTTTAAGTTTTACTTGGCTCCCTGCCAAGTCCCCAGACCCAACACAAAGCAAAGAGCTAAGAAAAAAATTATGAAAAATCCAGACTAGCCAAACTATATGAAAATAAATGTATTTACATATATTATATACAGTTGAAATACTATATACAATTCCAAAAGGAAAAGGGAAAGAAAAGGGGGAGGGAGAAAAAAAACAAAACAAAATAGATATACACGCAACCAGAAACTCAGCATCTAGCAAACTATAGAATTAGCAAAAAATATCTTACTACTCTCCTTGGGACAAGAGAAATCGTACTGGATGACTGCCGGCACCCTTCACCTCCCAAGGTCTCACAAGGCCTCATCAGGCCCCACTGCCCCAAACGGCAGAACTGACAGCAGGGAACCCGCACCTCCAGAGAGCAAAGGCCTGTCCTCCCTTCTTCGTTATACCCCTGGCTTACATAAAAATCGTAGGGAATACTGGGTAATGTGGTCACTTCCTTGGTTACAAACTGGTCACCAAGGAAGGCCTAGAATAAAACTACCACAACTTCCTATTTCTACTTTATTCTCCCCCTTCAATACAGCTTTCTCTGGTAATTTCATTCATTCTGTGAGGAATAGGGAGAAGTGGAGTTCACTCAGTGCACCTGCTTTACTAAGAGGTGCAGGGTTAGGTTTTGTTTCAGTTGTTATGGCCCTCTGTGTTCACACTTTGCTTTCTCAGCATGAATTTCACACTGGTTTCCTTTCTGAGATTTACTGAGCGTGTTTGGGTAGCTGGGTGCTCTATGTTTCTTGTTTCCATTGATGCCTTAAGCCCCTAATGTTTTTTTATTTTTCTAATATTGGTAAGTCTTATAAGTTTTATAAGTAGATTTTAAAAGCAGAAACCCTCCCTCCTTTGTCCCTTGTCCCTTTCCCTTGGCAGGGAGCACCCTTGTTTACACATTCCTTAACCCTCTTACCCCCGAATCCAGTAGAAATGTTTAGTCTTTTGTCAAGGCAAGGCCTAGATTGTTGGCAGAACAGCATATCAGGACCTAAACCACAGAACATGGTCAAAAACTGGGTGACTATGTACCCTTTGTGCTCTGATGAAGATGAAGATGGGATGAACAGAGGGTCCCGAAATGCACCCGAGACCCATTTTCAGGGGGTGGACCCAGGGCGGACCAGAGTAAAGGCCACAGGGTGGACACATCTGGGATTGGATGGATGGTATTATAAAATGTAACATCTCAGGCACAGCCTGTGAGCGTCTTGTAATATCTTAGCCTTGGCAAAATAAACCCTTTCTTATCTCCCCCCTAATTTACTGCTCCGGGAGACTTTTTTCAGCACCTAACTCCCACGGCAACACCATCAGGAGGGAAAGGTCGTGGAGTGAGTAGTGCTGTGCGTAAGGGGTATCAGGGGACACCAGGTATGGACACAAGACAGCCTCTGTCTTGAAAGAAATCCTACAAAAGACTAAATTAGTGATGCAGCTGCACCCACTGAGCTCACAAGCAGTTTAATTTAATTTTCCTGGATTTTTGGTTGGTGGCTTCCGACTGTGTTTATTAGGAGTTTCTGGAAACTGAAGATTACCCTCATTACTGCCAGTCAAAGCCTGACAAAAGTGTTGCATGTGTTTGTAATTAGGTGGTCTAGCTCAGCTGGACATATCTGGCACTAGCCAAAGATGGAAAACAGCTCAGGACAGAACAAGTGAAAGGATAAAGTGCCAGTGCCTTGCTGGATGTCACTGGATAGGGGTGTATATCTCACTTAAGAAAGGGGCTTGTGACATGCCTCCACATGTCACAGGTGTGGTGTGGGGAAGAGGATAGAGAGGACATGCAGTGGGGTCAGCAACAGTACAGACAGGCCTTGGGAGTTCAAAGATACTGCAAGAGAATACATTACTAATTTTAATAAAGGTCAGTGCCTTGTCTGTTTACCTCAGTATAAATACAGATGTCACTACCACTTGCTACTGAAGAGAGACATATAACAATGTTCTAATGCTCTAATTAAGAGAGTAACTTTTCTAGCAATGCTAAAATAGTTTCCTTAGTTTTCTTTCTTTGTAGTCAGTTAATAATTGTGACATTTTTCTTGGCTTTAACTGTGTGTCCCTGAAGGTATGTTAAAGACCCCCTGTTATTACAACAGTGGGGATCATGTTGCTGAAGTGACGGAAGCAGAGATACTTCTTAAAATTTGGCCCCTGCTGTTTGTAGTTTCTCAAGACTACACTTTGGCAAAATTTAAAATAGATTTACGTGATGCCTGACAACTAGAAATTATGCTATAGCCTAAGTGTTGGGTGAGAATTAGAGAAGCAATTATGGACTATTGTAACACCTGGAAACAGAAGTGATAGTGGATGGTTTAATGTTGCATTGAGCAGATAATTGGTTTTGTGGCTGATGTGAAGCAGATCTCTTGGTATACTGTGATTGTACAGAAAAAGATCATATGGCGTACTGTGCTATTTGAATGTTTGCAAGGCATTCACACTGTTTATCTGCTGTTCTCAAGTCTCTGGTGGAAATGTGATGCCGCTTTCTTTGAGCCTGTCCACCTGAACAGCATTTTAAATAAATACTTAATGTGACGTGTATCAGAAGAAAACAAAATTGGTACTTGATTGCAACCAGTTTACAGTGTCTCCTGAATCAGCAGGTCCTGTTTGTCTTGTAACTTACACAACAATTCTGTTTTCACCTCTAGTGTTTATTTCTCTTTCCCTTTCAGGCAACTGCAAAAGCCAGAAAATGGCCTTTCTGATAATGCCACTGAGATTTAGAGCATTAAAGCAATCTCATTATCAGTTTACATCCCTAGTTGGAAATCTGAGATTGTTCAGAACATCAAACAGTAGAGTGGGGGCATGTAATGTGCAGCCCAAGGGCCAGATGAGACCTGCTGAGGCATATAATGTGTGCTCCAGCTGCCTTCTCCCTGTATCAGAGGGATGGGGACAGAACTGCTGACTGGTGCTGCTAATGAACTCGAACTACCATACATTATTTTCCATCTACATGCCAAACATGGTTATATGCACTTACAACACGTGTCTATGGTTTATATGCAAATTGGATGCGACCCTTGGGCTCTTGGCAAGTAACCTGTATAACCTTCAGGTCTGCAGAAAATAAGCCTCTGGTTAAAGCTGGAATTAGTGCATGCATGGGGCTAGAGGCTGCCTTGCAGAGAGAGCTCAGGCTGCTCTGTGCTTAATGGCAGTGGAAAAGGCCTAATGGAAACCCCTTTAGCTCATCTTTCCCACTCAACTCTTGGATACATGAGCAAGAAGGGAGGGAAATAATATTCTGTTGGTCCGATGCATAAGTTCTTGCTGCCTCAACCCTTTGGTCTTAGCAGCCATGTATGTGTAAAACCCCCATCACATCATTGAGGTCTTCATGATGAATCTGCAAATGACATTACACTGTTGAATTTTTATGCTGTGCAAAGAATTTTAATTATTTTAATTACTGTTTCTGAGTTAGTGTGAAAATAAACTCAGAATCTATCATTAGTGCATCCAACTGTGCAGATGAAATATATAATCAATATAAAATGCTTTTGTCATACCCAGTTTGAACAAAGATCTATGTTAGTCTAAAATTCAGAGGTTTCTTCTGTGTTAAAGTTCTATTAATACATTCATTAACAAAAAATTACACTACAAAGTCTGTGGGGCTTACTTCATTGAAAGAACAATTTCTTTGTTGGCAACTTCATCTTGATGTTACTCCCCTTTCTTCAGCTTTCCCAAAATGACATTTTTCTTAAAATCAACACTAATACAGTAGTTAACCTTTCTCAATATTACGTAAGAAAATAATGCTGAGATAGTCATACAAATAATTAAACATTGAAACCCTCTATTTTTGCCACAAATGCAAAAGTACAGCACAACTCCAGTCATATTATTTATTTTAGAGATCGTACTTTTAAAATGACAATAATGACCTTGAAATTATGTCAGCCAGTGTTGGTTGGCTGACATACAGAATGTGAAGATTATTTTTGATATGGAAGGAAAGCATGTAAAGATATTGTTGAAGTCTTTGTACCAGCTTCACTTATTTTTGGCAAGGTATAGAATTCTAATGTCTGTTTTATTATTTCTTTTATGATAAAAAAAAACATTGAAAAATATATGGGGGAGAGGTTATATGACTGTCAAACAGACAGGTGTACAAATAGTTTACTCAAAATAGCCCTCAATTTTATTTATTTAATTTATTTATTGTCACCAAAAAATGCCACAAAAGAAACATATTTTCTCTTTTTAGGGTACAAAATCTGAGTGTGACCACTCTTATGAAAATTCTGGTTTTACCTGGGGAAAGGAAGGTGTCTGCGTTGTGTCGTGATTCATTGGGGAACTATGGATGACAGGTACTGGAAGTTGAACTTCCACAGTGTAAACCATGAAGAATATGCATCATCCTTGACTTGCAGCACCACTTCAAAAGGTGAGGTGAAAATGCAGGGCTTTTGCATCCTGGCAGAATTTATTGCCATAAATCACTTCTTCGGTGTCTCCCAAATGTGCAATTTTTTTGAAAATGCACACATCTAAAATTTTTAATTCATGTTACGTGTTACTTTAGTTTCCATTTATTAAGATAGGGTGTTTTATTTGCTAGCAGTTGTTGACAATCTTGGAAGATAAAAACATTCAATTTCCTTCATGTGAAAGCTGATGTTCTCATCCAGTCATTTGATTCCAGGAGCTCTGATCAACTATAGGGAGACACTTAATCAAATTTCAAGAACTTATATGGTTGCCTCTGTTACAGGACTTTCAGTAAGAATGAAAATAGTTCTGGTGTATTATGACCAGTTAATGAGTATAGATCCTGTGTTGTCCTAAATCCCTTTTGAACTGCCCATAAGAACACATCTTAATCCTATGTGAATAAATGAGCTGGGGATTTCTTTCCTCTAGCTAAATCCTAGTATCACAGAAGAATGTCATCCATAGATCTCATAAAAGTAATGATGCTATATTACATTAGAGTAAGGCCTGCATTTGAATAACCACAATCATCTCTACAATGAACTTTTAGGCATAGACAACTTCTGGGCTGTTTGTTTGAATTTTCTATGTTATATGGTTTTAGACTGGAAGACTTTTTTGTTGTACTGTGAAAAAAGCAAAAAGCCCCCACCAACCAGTCAACCAACCAAACCAACTAACCAACTAAAGACCAAATCAAAAAGCCACCCTTGACTTCAGATCCTAGAAATGGTCCCTAGTAACTATCAGAATGATTACAAGCTATAGAAGACAAGATAATCAGGGAATCATACTGTTCCTGAAAGGTTATATACCACAATCTATAATTAAAATTCTGGTAGAGAAGTGTCATGCCGCTGAATTTTTAGTCTGAGCATGCAGTTTGCAGAGAAGTTGGTTGGCCAACTTTCTGCCATCAGTACTCTGCACTGTATTTTCACTCAGATTCTTAAAGCTGAAGTACTCTGCATAGTTCTGAGTTAAATTTTCAGAGGCAGAAAAAATTGGCAAAACATAAAAGACTCAAGTAGCTACATATCGGCTAGTCAATATCACAGTATAAAAAAAGAGAGAGATATTTTATGAACATTTCAAGTTCTTGCTCTATTATTCTAAGAGACTATTCTTTAACTTTTATTAGAGTAATGGTGATCTTGAGAAACACAAAGTACAGGAGGACATATTTTCACTGTGTTTAGCAATTGTGGATGTCATAGAATGAAGGTAAGTATTAGGAATTGGCATAGTCTAAGAGCCACTCAAATTAAAACCAAAGGATGCATATTTTTTATAGATGAACATGCCAGGAAAACAGCATTGGGGAAGAATGTCTGCCTCTGAACAAAGAGGGCTCATTGAAAGCAAAAACAGAGATATAGGAAAGCATACAATGGAGACATCAAAAGAACCCAACAAAAATGATTACATCAAATAAAAAAAGATTAAATATTTTAGGGTGCAAGACAGATCAAAGGCTTCCTAAAGATATCAAAAACATGATGCCTATGAGGAAATTAGGATGTTAAGAAGCAAAAACAAGTTCATAAAAATGTACATAACACCATTTAAAGTGGAAAAGGAAATACAGTGTTCTAGGGTCAGCCAAAGTACTTGGTACTAATAATCCTTTCATCTTTTATTAGCTAAAATTAAAATATATAATACAGAACACCTAAGAATTTATGATACGATTGAAGTTTGCCATCAGAGTTATGCAGAAGAAAAAGGGTAACCTACTAATTACTTAAACTTCTTTGAACATGAAAATAAAAGTACTGGAGAAAAAGAAATCAAGGATATTTAAACAGTGAGAAAGCCTCTGACTTGGATTCAGGAAAGCTGAACTAAGTATTTTACTGGAATATTTATACTGATGTCAGTGCTAGAGCTAGCTCAAACAGAATTAGGCAGAACTAGGCTAGAGGAATATTTTATGATTTAAAATTGGTGAAAAAAGCTATATTATGAACAATCTGTTCTGTGAAAATATTTTGGTTCACTGAAGTGATTTTATAACGCTTTATTTTGTAAAATTGACATTTTCCCTTGCTGCTTCTTACCTCAGTATAGGCCTAAGTACTGTTCATACAGGCAATAAATAAATATATAAATATTTACTTAAGAAGTTGCTTTTAAACACATTTTTTTCTATTTAATTTTGTGTCCACATCTCCAAAACTGGGAGTTAGAAAGCAAAGTGATAGATTTTCAAACCTATAAATTAGCGTTAATGTGATCTTTATTCTATTAAGTTATCTAGACTAGGTTTCCAAATCATTCTCTTTTCCAATACCCCAGAATATATCGTTTGAGGGTCTCAAAGACATCAGCTAGTTCCTTTGAACTTGGATCATAACAGTATCCTGCTTCATATTTATCATTGGGACAATATGTGTGGATTCTATCTTTCTCTTTCCTTCTTGGCATTCTCTTTTGCTTCACTGTTCATGTGGTTGTTCAGCATGCGACAAAACAGTGTCTTCTGCAAGGATAACTAAATAGTCAGTGTAATTCATCAAACCAATGGCATTGGGGTGGGGAGGTACACGGAGGAGGGATTTAATTTTTTTTTTTCTGTTTTGAAGATATTAAGAGTATACATCTGCTTTATAGACCAAGAAACTGCTGCAGAGGGACCTGAGAGCCAGCTGTAGAGGCCAACACAGCCTATAATGCTTTCGGATAATAACCAGATTATAGCTCCACAATTCCAACAAAGAAACACAAGCAGTATGGATGTACAGTGAGTATCAATTTGTCCATTATTTCTAACGAAGTTAAATAATGCATATGGGACCACATGTTTGAAGAATAAATACACATTAAAGTTCTTAACAGTGTGAAGATTAAGGCAATATGATTTTTTTATAGCTTTCATCCAGGGAAAAATAACTTCCTGCTTGCTTTAAGTAAGATTAGCTGGAAAAAATCTGTAGTACACCTAGAACAAAGTCTGTGTGGCAACAGGTAAATATTTTTATTTGGAAAGATTTTTATTGGTTTTAATTAAGCAATGACATTTTTGTTGAATGTCTTAAATCTTTAATTACCACCCAAGAGCACTGAGCATGACATGAGTTATTTACTGAGTCATTGAGAAGTACAGTTCAATATTTTCTTATAAATACTTCACATAGAAACGATAGAAGGCCTTCACTGGAAACAAGAATGATTTTTAGAAATATGAGTGGTCCTGATCTGAACCACAAGGAAGGCAAGGGAAAGAATCCCAGTGGCTTCCATGGGAGTTGGCTCATGTCTTTAATGACCATTAGAGCTTGTAGTAACTAGAGAAATGTTTTCTAATGATTGACAATGTCCCACAAATCAGAATCTGTCACCAAAGGTCAGCCCTGAATATGTGTTTGGGGATTTGGGGCTTTTGTGCTTTTGTGCTGGGTTTTTTGGTAAAATGAGAAGGGGAAGGTATCACCTAACGTAAACCTTGTTTAAAGTTTGAGATGTCAGCTGTAGCAGCTGCATGTATGGATGTGATGTACAATGTAATATGGATGAGATTTTCACAGGAGTTTGTCACTCATATATCACAGAGAAATTGGGTTGTTGATTTAAATACAGCCCAGATCAACTGTCGTGGGCATGAGAGAGACACCAGCACTAACAATGGGTATATATTTATGAATAGCTACAGCTAAGCTGAGGCAGACAAGAAAACAAATGTTTATGCTAAAGATTTGCTCTCAATCTCCAATAAAAAGTAGAATTAGTGCCTACAGCTCTAGTGTATTTATCAGCTCTCCCTAAATTTTAAAATTTATGGCCTACGTAATGAGATACATAGAAGAGGGAAGGAAGCAGCAGTAATCTCACTGCCTGCATGAAGGTGCCTAATCTGTGTAAGACAGTGAGTCTTTCCAAGATTCCCAGGTACTTGGGGGAAAGAAATCATTGCTTTCCAGGCTCTCTTATCAGCCTTGCACATGGCTCCTATCGAGATCATTATCTGGTGAAGTAAATTTCTCTCCTCTGAGTGTATCTTTGCTCCATGAAACATCATCATGGCCAGGCTTCGCGAACGAAGATTTGGGAAGGCTCTATCCACATTTGCTACAGGCACGCTGGTGGCTTATGAGGCCAATACGTGACAGACATATCCGATTGCAAAAGGCACAGCAGAAAGACTCCTTAGATGGTGTATTCTGCAATACACGGTTCTTTCTGCGTTGCCTTTTTTCCTCGAGAGTGATCCTGCGTGTGCTCTCGAAGGAGACAGCTGCGTTATAGATGGCGTGTCTCCAGGCCTCCCGATTGGAGGCCAGAGTAGACCAGCTATGGTGATCAATATGGCCAAGGCTGAGATGTTGTTTCAGGGAGTCCTTGTATCTTTCCTTCGGGGCTCCTCTCATGCGGCAGCCAGTGGCAAGTTCACCATAGAGCAGGATCTTAGGGAGGCGGTGGTCCTTCATCCTTGAGATGTGCCCTGCCCATCGCAGCTGCGTTCTCAGTAACATGGCCTCAATACTTGTGACAGCTGCTTGCTCTAGAACAGATGAACCAAGGCAATTTGTGATTACAGTAACCAAACGGAACAAATGAGATCAGAATGAACCTACAGCTTATACAGATCCCAACTGGATAATGATCATCAGGATAGCAAAGTTTGTGACAGTGAAATGCAAGGCTAATTGTAGTTTACCCTACGAAGAATATGACATTAATTTTTTTACAGAGAATGCAATCCCATTGTCATACAGAGTTTACAGCTGGATTTCTTTTGAGGATTGTACTGCAGATTTGTCACAAGAAAGTGAAGGAAACATCTAGATCAATTATGTTTTTAGAGACTAGATTTATGGGAATGAGAGCCCGGAGAAGCAAGAATTGGGGCAGGAGCCCAAAGCTGAGGAGACTTACTCCTCAGGTGGCGTAGAGCAACCTCTGCGGGGTGTTGGTGCTGGAGGCTCTGTCCATCATTCACAGTTGGCAGGGTGGACTCCTCCTCCAAAAGGGTCACTTCCTCAGTGTATTCAAGTATGAGAACCTGGCTGTGTCATCACTTTTCTGTGACCTATCCCTTCTGATAAAATACAGACTTTTTATCTGTAGGAAGGGCAATTTATTCTGTTAATCACAGAATAAATCTGACTGTTTCTGTTTCTGTTGGTATAAGCCCAGGTGGTAGGCTCTGTAAGCGGAAAATCTGCCAACAGAGAAGCCATAATAGGAAAAAAATAACTACTGTTTTTTATATTAAAATCCTGGGCATACTGTGGAGCCCAAACCACAATCCTAAGTTTTTCTTTCCCAGAAGAAAGCTTAAAGATTCATGAAAGTATCAATGCTGCCTGATCACTACACAGAACTTACCTCCAAAAACATGCAGGGCTTATTTGAGACCCAGTGATACCTCTCGTAAGTGGTCCAGGTTTGCAATTTTAGCCTCTAGACAGTGTTTACCACCTCTTGCATGAGAGCTATCAGCAGTCAGAAAGGAGGAACTTTAACCTATGCTTCACTGAAGTTTACTTTCCTTCACTTAGATGTTGTGTACTGAGTTTCCGTGAAAGAATGAAAAACACTTAAGACTTGATGAACACAGGATATACAACATTATAAAGGAAAGAATCTTGTCTCTGCGTCTGTACAGGACTTGTTCACAAGGGTTCCCATCCAACCCCCTCTACTGGAGTCGGTAATGTCTCATAAACCTGATATAACCAAATTCTAGTCAGTAACTCTTGTGAAGAGAACCACATTATTAAGTCTTTAAAAAAATGCCTAGTCCTATTTAACAGCCTTCATAATTTTCTAGCAGTGACTCCTGCAGAACAGAAACTAGAAAATTGATTATTTGAGATATTAAAAGCCTTCTATGTAAAAGCTTACAACATGAATGCGTTCTGAACTCCTTGGCTCTACTTCGGTTCACAGCTTCCATCTTTTTACAAGATCAAGTCCCAGGTATAAGACTAAACACTGCATCATTTAAAGGTAAAATAAAAAAGAACTATCTAGAAATCCTGATAACATTAGTACAGAAGATGGAAATGTTACTTTGGATTTCTTGTGCCTTATGCTACTGGAGATATCAAGTTCATAATTTAAGTGATAATATGCAGTTTTTTCCTTCCATGGGGAAAATGTTACCACATTGCTGAGTGAGTACTTGTCCCCAGCCAATTTTCAGAACAATATCTAACATCGGCCTGTGAAAGTTTCCTCCACTGAAATTCCGTATGAAGTTCACTGCCGGAATGATATCTGTGGTCTGATTCCTTGGCCACTGAAATGAAATTATAGCCTTCTATTGAGCTCATTATGCATGAAATTAAGATAGAATCCAAGAAAAACAGTGGAGTCTCATACGTATTCTTGTACTGAAAAAGTGGTTCTCCCCTGCCACTCCCCCTGCAACTTCTTTGTACTTAAAATGGCAGTATATAACATCCTCCAACACCCAAATTTTCAATGAGAGCCAACAAAAGCTACATTTTGTGTTACAGGCATGGATTATGAAGAAAACCATATTAATATTTAAGAGCAAAGCTTTACTAATTTACATTTTTTGAATACATTTATCAGTCTTAAGTGATTATTTTCTACTGATAAATATTATTTGTTTTTAATGTGACCTATTCAACACTATAATAAGTGTTTCACTCCAGCTATGTTCCACATGCTGTATTCAAGTTTTTCACATCACCATTGTATATAGGAATTTCTGGTGTGTTTTTATGAGAGAGAGAGAAAGAAAGAGAGATCAAAATGTTTAGTAGGTAAGATGGAAGGAAGCAACTATCTATCTAGATAGTTGCTAATGTCTGTCATAGTTAATTCCTCTATCTTATACAAAGTTTAAATAATTTCTTTTTCCTGTCAAAATGAGCTTTACTATTTGGACATAAATCCTTTGTGCTAGAGGTGCAAAAGCTGTTGATGATATTTATTTCTGAAGTTTGGTACCTTGTAGGAAATTTCCAGGTGCTTCAGGTACTATAAAGGTACTGTCTGAGACTGAACTGAAGCACTTGTAAGTCACCCTGATTTCTGTTTACACTGCCATTTAATAAAACAAAACAAAACAAAACAAAACAAAACATTTGAGAATTTGATTTTTCATTATTTTGCTGGACAAGAAAATAAAAGCTTGGGAAAGCTTTTAGACAGAAGTATTACCAGTCTTGCTTTTAGGCTATTACATGTTCTTAAAAACTAAGCAAAGAAAACATTTTTTTCTCAAGATCAAATTTTACTGCTTTCAATGATGGTGTATCTTTGGTAACTTTTGATTCAATTTCCTAGCAGCAAGTGGTTTTGGTGGGCTTTTTCTTTATAGCAGGCAGAAGATTGACGTTTTTTCAGCCATATCAGAACTTTAGAAGTTTGATGGCTTTCAAGATGGTCTTTTCCTTTTGTAGAAACTTTCCCTAATGACAGAAATCTTCAGAAAATTGTTTGGATTTGCTCCCTGCATTAACATCTCTGAGCATGTTAGCATCTGAAGGAGGGCAATGAAGATATTGAAAGGCCTTGAGGGGAAGCTGTATGAGAAGCAGTTGAGGTCATTTTGTTCAGCTGGAGAAGAGCAGACTGAGGGGAGACCTCGTCGTGGTCTTCAACATCCTCACAAGGGAAGTAGAGGGGCAGGTTACAGATCTCCTCACTCTCATGACCAGTGACAGGACCCAAAGGAATGGCCTGAAGTTGTGTCAGGGAAGGTTTAGGTTGGATATTAGAAAAAGATTCTTCACCCAGAGGGTCGTTGGGCACTTAAAAGGCTCC